AAGCTATTTGACCAAATTGAATAAATATTTTAATTTTATATTTTGGTCAATGATCTTAATTGAAATAATAAAAGTTCAAAAAAAAAAAAAAAAAAGCTCGCTTTAAAATTGGCTAAAATGTTTAAAATTTTCACCTTTTTTTAGTTCGGTCAAAATTTCTGACTATTAGTTTTCTAATTTTTGTTGCTGCCTGCCTATCATTTGAATCTTTTGGCTGAAATGGTTTGAAATTTCTGTCATGTTTATTTCGGTTGTCGCTAAGCCTGTTTTGGGCTTCTTCTTTGGACTCACAAATTTTGTTATGGACTTTCTTGGCCTCGCCGAGGCGGCCCTGTATGACTAGCCACCGTGGCAACTCTAGCATGAAAAGGATCCTAATGGCCAAGCTCGCGAAGGGGATTGCACCTATTCCAAGCATCACCCGCCACGCTAAGTGCATCGAAAGCCCCTGAGAATGCGTAATTGGATACGTATCTGAGTAATAATCTGATGTTAGTGAACACCTATAGATAGAACACTTTTAGTGAAAATCAAATATGAGGAATGAAATAGATACTTAAAAACATTTAAGGTCCACTTTAGTAAAGTATGATAAAGTTGAGGGATCAAAAAGTTATTAAGCCAAAAAAAAGATGAAAAACCTCAAGAAATGAGGCGAGGAAGCAGCGGTTTCATGTTGGAGTGACTTCGACAGTGTGCACGAGAGCAATCATGAGGGCGAAATCGACACTAATGCCAGGCATGAATCGACCCACCATGAGAAAAGCATAGTTTGTAGCAAAGCATAGTTTGGTGCTGTCCCATTATCCTATCACACACAACAATGCTTTGTTGCATTAGTTTTATTTTACTTTATTTTGTTTTTAAGTTATGGATAGCTTATACCATGGATTAGAGAACTATTAAATCGCAAATGCAAGAGACTATTGATTTAGGTGTAGCTTACTATTAACTTAATAACTCTTTAAATTAAGATTTATAAAATTTTGAGAATTTAAATTTATATTGTTTAGTAGTTTATTTTACCCAAACATTACACGAGTTTCGTACTGGTTTTGTACAAGTTTTGCATGGGTTATGTTTCAATTTTTTGTATTAAAGTTTAAATTCTATACTATGTTGGGTCGATTGTTATTTTTTTATTTAATTGATATTTGAAATATTATTTATTTATTTATTTTTGAGTTGCAGAATGAATTTAAATTTTTTATTATCTATTTATTTAATTGCATTATGTTGCTTAAGCTGTCAGTTTTGAAGTCTTATTTAAATTAGCTATATTAGTTCTATTTTAATCTTGATTAAACAGAGGACTTAATTACCATAACTGTTCAAGATGGGACTCATGCAAGCTAATATGAGCAAGCAATGGCAATTTTGTTTCTCTTTGGTTGCTTTACAGGTTCAAAATTGGCAACGACTTCATCTAAAGCTAAGGAGGTGGCCAAAAACTTCGTCATGGTGAGGTCCGGCCATCATCTTTGTTTTCTAGTGCGGAATAAATGCAAGAATTAAGAAGAATTTGGGGGTTATAGATGTTAGTTTAAAGAAGAGGGAGAGGATGACTAAATTCAATTGGCACACACAAATGAAGCATGAGATGTGATGGAGGATATATGTAGGGAAGGAGCTAGAAATTCAATTAGGGAGGCAAAAACTAGTATTAAAAATTTGAGTTCTGAAAAGTATTATTATAGTACTAATTCATTTTCTTTTTAAATCTTCTTTCTGTTATAAAAAGATTCACTTGTAGTCTTTTTTATTAATATATTTTTAATAAAAATTAAAAATTAATATATTTATTATAATAAAAAAATAAAACATCATGGTAATAAATCATATAACAATTAATTGAAGAATTAATTAAAAAAGAGAAATGTGTTTGTTAACAAAATTTCTAAAAAATTAAGAGAAAAAACATCACAAAATTACGTTATTTCAATAAACTCACTTTGAAAAAGACAAAAACAACATATTCTTAAAGTAGGGATGAGAGTATTTTGATTTTATTGAAATTATATGATTTTAGGGTATTTTTCTCCTAATTGTTTAGGAGGTTATGTTGATACACACTAATATTATAAAAAAATATTAAAATTTTAAAAAAATATTAAAATATTTCTTTTAGAAAGTGAACTTTAATTTTAATTGATTTAACACATAAATGATTATAAATTCAATTATGAAAGGCAAAAATGTACCTCAATGCCATAAAAAAAACTTTAAATTATTATATAGAATATTAAGAAGGGAAAAGTAGAGGTGTTCATATCTGATCCAATTTAATTGATCTAACCTAAATTGCCCCAAGCCAATAAAAAACTAAACCAAACCGATATAAAATTGGATTAGTTTAAATTATAAAATTTTAAAACAGATATAATTGTTTTGGTTTGTAATTTTATTTTCAAATTGCTCTAACCGTCCAATTACAAAATAAAATATGATTACAATATAATTTAATTAAATAATATAATATTTTTTTATAGTATTTTAAAATTTCTTTTTCTTATTTTATAAGATACTAACTTTATTAATTTAATTTAAAAATAAAAATAGAATATCCTATATTCCATAGAAATTGATAGTAAACCTAATGTACAAGATAAGGCATGTATGGGAAAAGATCAATATCATAATCTCTTAACCTTTTCTTTGAGATAAGACAAACATTCCTTGACTAGGGATGACAATTTCCCCTAATCCCTCCAAGGCCTCGCACGGATCCCCACCACAGGGGCAAGGCGGGGATCAACATTCCTCCTTATGGGGTGAGGATGGGGGGCGTTTTTCCCCTATGAATTTAGGTGGGGAATTTTCCCCACCCTATGGGGCCTAATGGGGATCCCTATCCTTGTGAAAAATTAAAATATATATATTAATTTCATTTTAAATATAATTCAACTCAACATATCAGTACATTTCAAACCTAACCCAATTATTCATGTTGGATTGATATTTATTTATGTTTGAACAATTTATATTTAATTTTACCACTAATCCATTGACCTTAATAGTTACAACTAATTGTATTTTTACAATCTGCAAAGGTAGAGTCTAGATGTTATTATTGTTGCACAAGGAATAAGTCCATTGGTTTAGTTATTTATGTTGGATTTATCTTTATTTATATTTGGATAATTTATATTTGATTTTATGATTGTAAAATTTTAGTTAATTGTATTTAAGCTTTTAGAATTTTGTTTATTATAATTGAATATTAGTTGATTATAAGCGAAAATTTTATATTTTAGTATAGATTGGCAAGGAATAGGAATAGGGGGCAAAATCTACTCCTATTAAAACCCCCACAGGGATCCCCATCCTCCATTTGCGAGGACAAGGACAAAAAGGGACTCCAATCCCTGGCCCTATGGGGCCCTGTTGCCACCCCTATCCTTGATAGTGGAATGAGTGATAAAATAAGAACTAAGTTGTCATCCCTATTCCAATGCATAATGTGGATCACTATTATCATCATAGAACACTTAAGGTTTTGTATTGTCCTAGATTTCTTAATTTATGCCCTGCATACGATTAGAATTCTTTTGCTTTATGTGGAAAGATTCTTTTTATGATGGACATGTTTGTTGAATCTATAGTTTGGTTGTGATGTTATGATATCTTTTGCCATGGTCTCTCATTCCATGGTTAATACTTGGTACAATTACACTACAAGAAAGGAGATCATTCTTTACACTTGTTTAGGTGTTTACTTGTGTTTTTAAACTCAAGTAAAAAGGTTACTAGCAATTGCCAAAACACCATACAAACGCTAGTGTGGACCGTGCCAGTAAATCTTTTACCTATGTTTTATGTGATTGCTGGTATAATTTGATTTTCCATTGCATTTATGAAAATACAAGTTTATCCCTTGAAAAATGCAAGTGATGCCTTTCTTAAAAGTCCAAAGATGCTAGCATATTTGATGCTTTCACCTGTGTTTTTGTCTCAAACGCAAGGAAAGGCCTTTTTGTTTTTGTTTTTGCTTCTTCTTTTTTTTTTTTTTCTTTTTGGCTTTTCATTATTTTGTTATTACCAATACATGCCCATTTGTTGACAAAATCATTTAAAATTAGAGCTTAATTAGTCAAACCAAATATGTCATCAATTAATAAAAAAATGCATACGATTAGAATCTTTTTGCTTTGTTTGGTTGTGATGTTATGATCTCTCTTTTGCTGTCGTCTCTCATTCTATGATTAATACTTGGTATACTCACTATCATTCCAGAATAGTCAGTTTCAAGAATTGTTGGGAGACATTCAGCCTAATAGGGTGATATTAAGTGACCCATTACTTGTTTCAACACCACATTGAAAGCAAAAGATTAGCTTAGTAGTTCCATTGATTTTTACATATTTAAGCCACCTTCGATGTGGGATCTTAGTTCCATGGGTACACTTTGCTAAGCCCGGCCCAAAACCATTGGCTTTGATACTATTTGTTAGGGAGAGATGTGAGATCTTGGTTCCATGGGTAAACTTTGCTAAGCCCGTCCTAAGACCATTGGCTTTGATACCATTTTTACATATTTAAGCCACCTTCAATGTGCGATCTTAGTTTCATGGTAAACTTTGCTAAGCCCGGCCCAAAACCATTGGCGGGAGACATACGACTACTACATTGAGTGACCTATTACATATTTCGACACCATATTAAAACCAAAAGACTAGTCTAGTAATTTTATGGGTCTTCACGTATTTAAACCACTCTTTCCTTCTATATTTCTTCAATGCGAGATCTTAGTTCTTCATACTCACAAAAGAAACATACTTCAACAAGAACTATTACCAAAGGTCCGGCAACGTATTATCGATAGTTTCACTCCCATGGCCCTTGATGTGTTCCGAAAAGAATTTGACTTCTTTGACAAAGTTACATCTTTTTCTGGCATTTCTATCCAGCTCCAAAGGAGGAACGTCGGCTGGCATCCCAAGGTACATCTCAAGTTGTTAATGCTTTTGTATTGGGAGCTGATTTTTATCTAAAATTTGCGGCTAATAACTAGCTTTTACAGGGAGTTGGAGAAAATACAAGTGTAGGGAGAAGACCTTTATTTACCAACTGCTCGTAATAAACTTGTTCGGGGTATTCAGTTGGAGAATACCCCTACAATCAGCTGCTAAAGTCCTCTCATGATCACATTTAATGTGGCTGATAAAGATGGGGACCCTAATGATATAAAGCCTCACTTGCATTTTCAAGGTATACTGAGTTACTTATTGCTTCCAATACATTCTCTTCTAGAATATAACTATGGGATTGAATTGCCTACATAAACCTTTTTTTTTTCCCTTGTATCTACAAAGAAATTAATGGTAAGCTATTGCAAAGGTTTGAACCTAGACTTTAGCCCAGAATCAAGGTTTACTTGGGATTTATATTATGCCTGCATAAACTTTGATGGAACAATATTTGGTAATCAAGACAATCAACCCCTCCCTTAAGGGACACCCCACTACGTTGAGCATGAGATTTCCAAGTTGGAAGCTCAAATCCAAATCTTTGGGTGGAGGGTAGGGACTTGGAAAATGGGATGTTTACTTCTGGCTACAAAGCTCATTATTAGATAATCCAAACATATATAGAAAAATCCAAACATAGCTTAAATTGTATTTTTTTTATGCAATCTACACTAAAAAAACACATTTTTTAAACTAAACACCAATTTTTGCATCAATATAGATCATAATTAGAAAGCTTTTGAGTATCCTAAAAACGTCAAAATATTTGAGACTTTAGGGTGAGAAAAGATTCTCAATTTATTTAATTTTCAATTCTTGGATGCCCCTAACTCCTTTCTCATCCATCTGGCAGGCAATTTTTAAGGATAATATATGTGATCTAAAACTTCTTAGCACACATATATTTACTAAACTACCCTTACGCCGATCTTTCCCCATTGGCATTTCCTAATTGAACCTGACCGCCGTTGCCTTCAAGTTCCTTATTTTCCTTCTTTTCCTTTGAACCCTTCCAATTGAATTTCCCAAACAACCCCTCCATCTCTTCCAACGTCTTCCCCTGAGTTTCTGGCAAGAACTTGTAAAAGAAAATCCATGACACCGTCGCAACTCCGCCGTATAGGAAGAATGCGCCGCCTATCGTTATGGATTTGTACAGTGAAATGAATGTCATGGATATAACCCCACTCGTCACCCTATTCACCGCCACTCCCATACTCGCCCCCTGCGCACGGAGCCTCAACGGGAAGATCTCCGAGCTATACACCCAAGTAACTGGCCCCATTCCGATTGAAAACATGGCAACGTTAGATAGGACCATTAGGATGCAGAGCACCAGTGCCCACGTTAGCTTTTTCTCTGAGTGATCGATTATTGTGAGCCCTATTCCGAGGGTGCCCAACGAAATTATCACTCCGGCAACGCTGCTGAGGAGCAATGGCCGCCGCCCGACCCGATCTAGTAGAAACGTGGCAACTAATATGAAAGTGGTCTTGACGAATCCAACGGCTATGGTAGCAAGTAACTGGTGGCCATTGGATGTGATTCCAGCCTTTTTAAAGATTCTTGGACCGTAGAGTCCGACGGATTCAATCCCTGAGGCTTGTTGGAAAAAGTGGATTCCAATGGCAGCGACTAAGACGTGTCGGACGGGAGGAGTGGGGTAGATAAACAACTCTTTCCAGACACCTTCGCCGTGACTGCGTTTTGTAACCTGAACAATGTCGTCGTCATAGTTTAGAGGGATTCCGGCAGCTTCTTTAATGTTGTTAAGCTTTATCTGAGCTTCTTCTTTGGAATCGGAGGTTTGGTTAAGGACTCTCTTGGCCTCACCAAGGCGGCCTTGCATGACCAGCCATCTTGGCGACTCCGGCATGGCAAGGATCCCAATGGCCAGGGCCACGGAGGGGATTGCACCCACTCCAAGCATCATCCGCCATCCCAAGTGCGTCGAAAGCTTCGAGAATGCGTAATTGGATATATATCCCACTAATCCTCCGGCGTTGATGAACACCTGCGGACAGAATCCTTGCAGTGAAAATCAAATATGAGAGATGAAAGATACTTAAAAATATATAAGGTCCGTTTTAGCACAAAATGATAAAACTGAGGGACCAAAAAGTTATTAAAAGGAAGAAGTTTCTGGGCTGTAAAAATTCCCTCAAATGCATCATGGGGTTGGAGGAAACTACTCAAGCTCAGGCAACGGGCTAGGGGGCTCATCCAACATATCCCGGGAGATGGCACTGAGACTCATTTGTGGCATGATAATTGGCATCCTTCTG